GCATGTAACCATGGTTGGCTAATTAAAAAAAAATTTTTTTTTTTTTGAGACAGAATCTCATTTTGTTGCCCAAACTGGAGTGCAGTGATGTGATCTCAGTTCACTGCAACCTCCACCTCCTAGGTTCAAGCGATTCTCATACCTAAGCTTCCCGAGTAGCTGAACTCACAGGCATGCACCACCACACCTGACTAATTTTTGTATTTTTAGTAGAGATGGGGTTTCACCATGTTGGCCAGTCTGGTCTCGAACTTCTGACCTCAAGTGACCCATCCGCGTCAGCCTCCCAAAGTGCTGGGATTATAGGCATGAGCCACTGCGCCCGGCCTTAAATTTTTTGTAGAGACAAGAACTCATTATATTATCCAGGCTGGTTGAAACCCTGCTTTTCTTTTTTTAATGTTGTCTGTTTATTTATTTATTTATTTTGAGACTGGGTTATGAGACTGGCTAATTTTTGTATTTTTGGTAGAGATGGGGTTTTGCCATGTTGCACAGGATAGTCTCAAACTCCTGGGCTCAAGTGATCCACCTGCCTCACCCTTCCAAAGTGCTGGGATTACAGGCCTGATCCACTGCATCCAGCCATATTTCTTTAAAAAAAAAAAAGAGAGAAAGAGAGATTTAAATTTAAAAGTTTGTTCTCTAACCACAATGGAGTGAAGTTAGCAATCAGTAACAGGAAGTCTAGAATATTCACAAATGTGTGGAAATTAAACAAAAACACTCCTAAATAACCAGTAAGTTGCCAGCCACAGTGGCCAGACTGGTCTTCAACTCCTGACCTCAGGTGATCCACCCACTTCAGCCTCCCAAAGTGTTAGGATTACAGGCGTGAACCACAGCGCCTGGCCTCAAAATAAAATTAGAGAAAAAATTCCAATTATGATAGCATCAAAAAAGCAAATATTTAGGAATAAATCTAATAAAAGGAATGTAAAACTTGTATACTCTAAACAGAAACGTTGTTGAAAGAAATTAAAGATATGAATAAACAAAAAGACATCCATGTTCATAAATTGAAAGATAATATTATCAAAATGGCAACACTCTCCAAACTGATTTACAGATTCAATGCAATCCCTATCAAAATCTCTGCTGGTGTCTTTGCAGAAATTGACAAGCTGACCCTAAAAATTTATGTGGAAATGGAAGGAACCCAGAATAGCCAAAACAATCTTGAAAAAGAATAAAATTGCAAAATTCACACTTCCTAAATCTCAAAACTTACTACAAAGCTATAATGATCAAGACAGTGTGGTACTGGCATAATGACATGTAGATTAATGGAATAGATTTCAGAGTCCAGAAATAAACTCTCATGTTTATGGTTAATAGATCTGCAATATGAATGCCAAGACAACTCAAGGGATAAGGAATAATCTTTTTAACAAATGGTGCTGGGTAAAAGAAAAAAACAAAACAAAACAAAACAAATGGTGCTGGGTCAAATGGCTATCAGCATGTAAAAAAAATGAAGTTAGGCTGGGAGCAATGGCTCACACTTGTAATCCTAGCACTTTGAGAAGCCAAGGCAGGTGGGTCATTTGAGGTCAGGAGTTCAAGACCAGCCTGGCCAACATGGTGAAATCCCATCTCTACTAAAAACACAAAAATTTGCTGGGTGTGGTGGTAGGCACCTGTAATCCCAGCTACTCGGGAGGCTGAGGCATGAGAATCATTTGAACCTGGGAGGCAGAGATTGCAGTGAGCCGAGATCACACCACTGCATTCCAGCCCAGGCAATAGAGCAAGACTCAGTCTTAAAAAAAATAACACCCCCCCACACACAGACACACAAATGATGTTAGATCCCTACCTCACACCATGAAAATGAACTCAAAGTGGATCAGAGAGCTAAATGGAAGAGCTAAAACTACAAAACTCAGAATAAATCAAAGGCATAAATCTTCCTGCCCTTGGATTAGGCAACAATTTCTTAGATACAACGCCTAAAGTACAAACAACAACTATAGTAATGAAATTGATAAATTGGATATCATTAAAGTTAAAAACTTTGTGTTTCAAAAGATGTCATCAGAAAAGTAAGGCCAATGGTGGCTCATGCCTGTAATCCCAGCACTTTTGGAGGCTGAGGCTGGAGGATCACTTGAGGCCAGGAGTTTGAAACTAGCCTGGGCAATATAGTGAGACTTCATCTCTACAGGAAAAAAAAAAAAAAAAAAATTAGCTGGGTGTGGTGGCATGTGCCTGTAGTCCCAGCTACTTAGGAGGCTGAGGTGACAGGATAGATAGTTTGAGCCCTGGAGTTGGAAGTTACAGTGACCTATGATCATGTCATCGTACTCCAGTCTGAGTGACAAAGTGAGACCTTGTGTCTTAAAAAAAAAAAAGTAAAAGATAACCCATGTGATGAGAGAACATTTTTGCAAATCATATATCTGAAAAGAGACTTGTATGTAGAATATATGAAATGAATAACTCTTACAACCAATAAAAAGACATATAATTCAATTTAAAATTGGCAAAGAATCTGAATATGCATTTGTCAAAAGAGGATATACAAACGTCCAATAAAAGCACATAAAAAGATACAAAACATAGGCCAGGCACGGTGGCTCACAACTGTAATCCCTCCAATCCCAACACTTTGAGAGGCTGAGGTGGGTGGATCACCTGAGGTCAGGAGTTTGAGACCAGCCTAGTCAACATGGTGAAACCCTGTGTTTACTAAAAATAGAAAAATTAGCTAGGCATGGTGGCATATGCCTATAATCCCAATTACTCAGGAGGATGAGGCAAGAAAATCGCTTGAACCCAAAATGCGGAGGTTGCAGTGAGTCAAGATCGCACCACTTCACTCCAGCCTGGGTGAAAGAGTGAAACTACATCTCAAAAAAAATTACATACATACATACATATATATATATATATATATATATATATAACCCAACATAATTAGACAGTGGGAAATACAAATCAAAACCACAATGAGATACCACTTTACACCCACTAGAAAGGTTATAATCAAAATGACAAATAATAGCAATTGTTGGCAAAGATATGGAGAAACTCGAAACCTCATACACTGCTAGTGGAAATGTTAAATGGTGCAGCCACTTTGGAAACAGCTGGAAGTTCTTAAAAAGGCTAAGTATGGAATTAACATACAAACCATCAATTCCACTCTTAGCTATATACACAAGAGAAATGAAAACATATTCACACAAAAACTTGTACATATATTCACAGAAAACTTGTACATGAATGTTCATGGCAGCACTATTCATAATAGCCAAAGGTGGAAACAACATATATATCCATCAACTGACGACTGGATAAACAAAATGTAGTATATCTATACAATGGAATATTATTTGGCCATAAAAATGCACTATGGATTCAGGCTACCATATGAATGAAACTTGAAAACATGTGAAATGAAAGAAGCTGGGAATGGAGGAAATAGGAAGTGACTGCTAATGGGTATGGAGTTTCTTTTGGAGAAATGAAAATGATATGAAGTTAGATAGCAGCGATGGTTGCACGACTTTGATCTGAACAGTTTAAAAGGGTGGTCTGCTGGGCACAGTAGGTCACACCTCTAATATCAGCACTTTGTAAGGCTGAGGCGGGTGGATCCCTTGAGCCCAGGAGTTTGAGACCAGCCTGGGCAACATGGTGAAACCCCATCTCTACTAAAAATACAAAATATTAGCCAGTATGGTGGCACACACCTACAGTCTCAGCTAATTGGGAGGTTGAGGTGGGAAAATCACCTGACTGGGGAAAGTTGAGGCTGCAGTGAGCCGTGATAGTGCCATGCACTCCAGCCTGGGTGACTGGAGTGAGACCCTGTCTCCAAAAAAAAAAAAAAAAAAAAAAAAAAGGTGAACTATATCTCAATTTAAAAATAAATATATACTAGTGTATGTCAATAGGGTGATGGAGAGTCATATCTGTAACTTACTCTCAAATGGTTCAGGGAAAAAAGTTCTTTTCTTGCAACTTGTCTGTAAATTTGAATTATTTCAAATAAAAAGAAAAATGCCATTGAATGCCAATGATGTTATAGGGTAACTTTTACTCTGCTCCACTCAGAGTGCTTTAAAAAAAGCAACTCCTTCATAAACTTCAAATAATACTTAATGTGAAGTCTGACTCTAAAAAATATGGGTTCACAACCTATAACATCCCATACTGTTGTTCTTCATAACAAAAGGCAGTATAGCATAAATAACATCTGCTTTGGAGTCAGATAGAATGTGTTCTTTTCTAGCTTTATGATTGGGAAAATTAATCAACTTTTAGGAGGCTTGGTTTTCTCATCTGGAAAATGAGAATAACTAATTGATTGCTCTGTTCTGCATAGGCTACATAATGATTTATATGCTCCCAAGCTTGGACTTTTACTCAACATTGTATATTATATAATCTGATGTTCTACTTTCTAGGATAGATAACTCATTTATTTTTCATGCCCTGTTGCCTACTTAGTAGCTACATTATTATCACTATTCTTCATGATTGGTTTGAAGAAGAGGTAAATTTATCTATCTATCTATCTATCTATCTATTTATTGAAGAGGTAAATTTTATTACTTATTAATATTCTTAATAAAAGATTTGGTAGGGAAGGATATCAGCAAAATTTAGAAGTTATTTAGATAGATTTCAATTATCTACTGCCATAATCACAAGCTGATTATGTACTTAAGTATAGTAAACAAGTTTAGCCAATTCTAATCTAGTTTAATTACCTCTTCTCAGACACTATCAGAAAATGAATAATGAATAAATAGTACATTCAATGTTGATAAGTGGAGAAATGGGAACCCTTATGCACTGTTGGTAAGAATGTAAAATGGTACAGCTGCTGTGGAAAACAGTGTGGCAGTTCCTCAAAAAATCAAAAACAGAATTACCATATGATCTGGCAATTCCATTTCTGGATGTATACCTCAAAGAATTCCAGACTCTATCTCTAAAGCATGGAAGAAAAAAGTGCCAACTTAGTTGGAAACATACTCTGTACTTACCAGTTGTTTGTTGTGCTGTGGCAGAGGACATGGCTGGGCACCAGCTGGCACCTTGTATACTGGTGTTACTGACATACTAGCAGGGTGGGCACATATGAAGCGAACCTGCAAAACCTCTACAGCTGGACTAGGGTTCAGGACACCTGGGTGATTTCCAATTTGGAATGTGAGAACCTTTAAGGAAATATCAGAGCAAGAGATAATTGTGGGTAGATACTTGATGTCAGTCATGTCAATATAAATGTGTTAGAATTATTCAAATTTCAGTATAGAGAGTCCCTTTCGACATTATAATCCAGCAAATCCCTTAAAGGTATTATATTTCTTAATTATCTATGCTAAAAGGCATTAATAATATCATGAAAATTTGAAAATAAGTGGAACATTTTTAAAAATTTAGGTTAGGCACAATGGTTCATGCCTATAATCCCAGCACTTTGGGAGGCTGAGGTGAAGGATCGCTTGAACCTAGGAGTTCAAGATTATCTTGGGCAACATAGTGAAACCCCATTTCTACAAAAAATTTAAAAATTAGCCAGGCATGGTGGTGCAAGCCTGTAGTCCCAGCTACTTGGGTGACTGAGGCAGGAGGATTGCTTGACCCAGGAGGTCAAGGCTACAGTGAGCCATGTTCATGCCACTGCACTCCAGCCTAGGCAACTGAGTGAGACCCTGTCTCAATAAAAAAAATATATATAACTTTGACTGAGTGTGGTGGTGTGCACTTGCGATCTCAGCGACTCGAAGTCTGAGGCACGAGGATTGCTTGAGCCTAGGAGTTGTAGACCAGCCCAAGCAACATAGCGAGACCCTGTCTCAGAAAAAAAATATATATTTGGCCAATTACTTTAGTCTTTTCCTCCACCAGTTATTTTGTTACTAGTTGATAAAAAGTGAAAAAACTAATTTATGTTTCAACTTGTCTGTAGTAGAAGTACTAATGAATAACAGAATGTGGAAACAAAAAGAAGTTAGGAAACTTCAAATGGGGGTTAATTAGGCCCCAAATCACTAATAGCTCACTCAACAAACTAGGAGAAGGAATAAAAGCCTCATATGAAAAACCCACAGCTAACATCATACTCAATAGTAAAAGACTGATTCAAAAAATGGGCAAAGGTCCGGCACGGTGGCTCATGCCTGTAATCCTAGCACTTTGGGAGGCCAAGGCGGTGGATCATCTGAGGTCAGGAGCTTAAGACCAGCCTGGCCAACATGGTGAAACCCCATCTCTACTAAAAACACAAAAATTAACCAGGCATGGTGGTGTGCACCTGTAGTCCCAGCTACTCAGGAGGTTGAGGTAGAATTGCTTGAACCCTAGAGGTGGAGGTTGCAGTGAGCTGGGATTGTGCCACTGAACTCCAGCCTGGGCAACAGAGCAAGATTCCATCTCAAAACAAGAAAAAGTGCAAAGGATTTGATTCTTCAAAGAAGATACAGATGGCCAAAGATATGAAAAGATGCTCAACATCACTAATCATAAAGAAAATGCAAATCAAAACTATAATGAGATACCACCTCATACCCATTAGGATGGCTACTATTAAAAAAAATAAAATAAGGCCAGGCGTGGTAGCTCATGCCTGAATCCCAAGCACTTTGAGAGGCCAAGACTGCAGCATTACACTCTAGCCTGGTGACAAGGGTAAAACTCCGTCTCAAAAAAAAAAAAAAAAAACCCTGATAATAACAAGTGTTGGTGAGGTTCTGGAGAAATGGAAACCTGTGCACTGTTGGTAGGATTGCCCAGGCTGACCTTGAATTCCTGGCCTCAAGTGATCCTCCTGCCTTGATTTCCCAAAGTGCTGGGATTACAGGGGTGAGCCACTGTGCCCAGCCTTAGAGTTTTAGTTTCATAAGATGAAAGGAGATGGATAGTAGTGATGGCTGTACAAGATTATGAATGTACTTAATACTATTGAACTGTACACTTAAAAAATTATTAAGATGGTAATTTTATATATATTTTACCACAATAAAAAAATTAGGGAAAAAAGGAAGTAATTAGCTCCAAGTTTACTAATAGCTAGTTATATATACAGTAAGGTTCACTACAAATATTAGAAAGAAACCTATGCAGTGAGCTACACTCCAGCCTGGGCAGCGGAGTGAGACCCTGTCTCTAAAAAAATAAAAGTAAATAAATGGAATAAAATAGAATGAAGTTTAATTTATTACAGCAGTTTTTACTAAGTTAAAATCTTATGTTGATTCCCTTACGTGCTGGTTAGCTGTGCTGTTTCACAGTGATACCTTGAATTCTCAAGCCTAGTAAAACTGCAAATCTTTGTTACCGATTCTGATAGAAGCACAGAACAGCTGTGAACGAAAACTATGCAAATCCATCAGTACCTCTAAAAATAATTTAAACTCAGCTGGGTGAGTGGTTTATGCCTCTAATCCCAGCACTTTGGGAGGCCAAGGTGGGCAGATCACTTGATTCCAGGAGTTTGAGACCAGCCTGGCCAATATGGTAAAATCCTGTCTATATAAAAAAAAAAAAACCCACAAAAATTAGCTGGGCTGCGCATGGTGGTGTGTGCTTGTAACTAGCTACTCAAGAGGCTGAGACATGAGAATTGCTTGAATCCAGGAGGCAGAGGCTGCAGTGAGCCAAGATTGTGCCACTGCACTCCAGCTTGGCCAACAGAGTGAGAACCTGTCCCTAAATAAATAAAAATAATTTAAAAAAATTCAATGGATAGAGGGCAACATATTTATTATTCTTATCATTGTAGATCTAATTAGTTCCTCAAAATTGCTAACCATAGATAATACTTTAAAGTTTCCCTTCCTTGAATTCTTAAAGGTGGGAAACCAAATATCAAGTCTACAAAACTAGGAAATGAATTATACTGATAAAGTGATTGCAAATAATGTGAAATAAGCTCATTACTAAAAAATGTCTTGTTTAGTTTGTGAACTGCTGGAATTCTCGGATGAGCAAACTGAAACCTTTAGGTACATTTTAAGGATAATAAGGTTTTGGAAAAAAGAATCCTTTGATCAATAATTAGGATTTTCCTATTTAGTACATAAATTCAGTGGAATCTGAAAAGGAATGGCTGAAAGTACAAAGGATTTCAAGTATTATACTAAAGAAAATGTTATAAAAAGACTGTTTTCCTACTTGTTCCCCTAAATCCAGGCATTGGACCCGGTAGATGTACTGGTTCTGTTTTCTCTTAGATGGCAGCCACACTTGTGCTATTCCAATCTTCTCTGTCTTCTCCACACTCAATTCAAAAAAAAATCGGGAGGGCTCCAAGATCCATGGATGAGGACCCCCTTCAAATACCATTTCCTTCACAGAGTGCCATGTCACCAATGCTACTTCCACAGGATTTAGAGCCTAATGACATTTAAAGAAATAAATCCCTGATTGGTTAGGGAATTCAATGATTTTCTAAAGTGAAACACTTGTTATCTGAATATGCTGCAAATGATGTTAAACTTAATTCCCAAATTAAGAGATAGGTATGCCATGCCTCTCACTTGGAATGCTTCTCAACCTAATTTAGATCCTACCTATCATTTGAACCTAATTATTATGTTACTTTATCCATTAATTTGTTTCCAGTCATTCTAGACCACACCATTTCTGCATCCTCTAAGCTCTTACAGTATTTATCTCTACATTCATTTATATACTGTTAATTTCCTAATGTTATTACATGTGTCAAATGCTATATATAAATCTAATAATATTTTTTTTCTCTAGTTATATAAACTCCTTAAGAGGAGTCAGTATCTTACACCTAATTTGTTTTAGTATTTCTCTTTCTCACTGGGATTTAGTACAATGTTGTGCACAGAAAAGGTATTGTATAAATAACTGTGTAAGCATCTTTTCAGGCTAGAGAATGAAAAATAAGATGCATAAGCATTTTAAACTGATATTTTACTAAAATGTCAAAATAAATTCTGCCCTAAAAATATAAAAATACATGCATACACTTAACCATATTTCCCCAAGAACTTTATAAGCTAAGAAGTAGACAAGATAGGTATTATTCAATTCAGTATACAGAGGAATTGTATCCCATGTATAGATGAGAAAACTGGCATTAGGGAAATTAAGTATTCTCAAACTGTAGGTTATTTTTGTATGGGACACAATATCTACAACAGTGACTAAGTTGTAAAATTATACCTTAAGTTCTGGGGTATATGTTCAGAAGGTGCAAGTTTGTTACATAGGTATACATGTGCCACGGTGGTTTGCTGCACCCATCAACCCATCATCTACATTAGGTATTTCTCCTAATGCTATCCCTCCCCTAGCCCCTGACCCCCTGACAGGCCCTGGTATGTGATGTTCCCCTCCCTGTGTCCATGTGTTCTTATTGTTCAACTCCCACTACAGTGACTAAGTTTTAAAATGAAGTAGAGAGTTGAAGCAATTATTCTAAAAATGTAAGCAAACTATGCTTTCTTTCTGGAACTGTTCAGTCATATTTATTATTGAGTACTATTAACACTGAATGTTCCTCCTGATGGTAGTATTGTCTTAAATAAGGTATATATAATTCAAAAAATATTCACTGATGGCCTACTGAGGATACAGTAATAGAAATTCAAATAAAGTCTTGTCTCACAGGGGAGCCCACAATCTGAAAAAGGCAGACTTGGAGTAGCTAAAGAGTACAATAAGTGCTACAAAAAGGGCATGAAAAAAAAAAAAAAAGAAAACAAAAAGGGCATGGTGGCTCACACCTGTAATCCCAGCACTTTGGGAGGCTGAGATGGGTGGATCACCTGAGGTCAGGCGTTCGAGACCAGCTTAGTCAACATGGTGAAACCCCATCTCCACTAAATTAGCTAAGCACAGTGGTGTATACCTGTAGTCCCAGCTATTTGGGAGGCTGAGGCAGGAGAATCACTTGGAGACAGAGGTTGCAGTGAGCCAAGATTGTGCCATTGCACTCCAGCCTGGGCAACAAGAGCCAAACTCGGCCTCAGGAAAAAAAAAACAACCATGTTACAGAGTACTATACAAGTTTTTGGCCCACCAAGGTGGATCACACCTGTAATCCCAGCACTTTGGGAGGCTGAGGCAGGTGGATCACTTGAGCCCAGGAGTTCGAGACCAGCCTGGCCATCATGGCAAAACCCCGTATCTACTAAAAATACAAAAACTGGCTGGGAATCATGGTGGGTACCTGTAATCCCACCTACTAGGGAGGCTGAGGCACAAGACTCACTTGAACTCGGGAGGTGGAGGTTGCAGTTAGCCACGACTGCACCACTGCACTCCAGCCAGGGAAACAGAGTGAGACTCTGTCTCAAAAAAAAAAAAAAAAAAAGTTTTGACAGAAGAAATTAACGGAAGAAAAAAAAAAGAAATTAACAGAAGAAATAAACACAGAGGTCTCATAGGTGGCCTTTCTGAAAAAGCAAAACAAATTATTCCTTTTTCTTAGATGTATAGTCCAAAATTAAATGGACCAACTGAATTGAGCTGATAATGTAAAAGGACAAATTGAGAACTGTAACATGTAATGAAACACAGTAATGGTAACAAAGGTAAAATACACATATTTTTAAACAATTTTTTTTTCATCAGGCCAGGGGAAAGACACATGACTAATGTACTGTAGAAAAAAAAAATCTCACGCCTGTAATCCCAGCACTTTGGGAGGCCGAGGCGGGTGGATCACGAGGTCAAGAGATCGAGACCATCCTGGTCAACATGGTGAAACCCCGTCTCCACTAAAACTACAAAAAATTTGCTGGGCATGGTGGCGCGTGCCTGTAGTCCCAGTTACTCGGGAGGCTGAGGCAGGAGAATTGCCTGAACCTAGGAGGCGGAGGTTGCGGTGAGCCGAGATTGCGCCATTGCACTCCAGCCTGGGTAACAAGAGTGAAACTCTGTCTCAAACAAACAAACAAACAAACAAAAAATCATCTTTCTTTCCTTTAAGAATGACTTTCATCTGATTTGTGGACACTCAATGTATATAAAATAGGCTCAAGGATAATGATAAAAGTAAGAAAAAAACTAATGAAACTTTACAGTGAGCCACAGCCAAGGACTTTAATTAGTGCTTGGCTGTGGCTCATCAAGTAGGATGACTCACCCACCAAAGGAACTAGTGAAATATACTTGAACCATATATTTAATATATATGCTATACAATGTACAATGAAGCCAACTTAAAATGCAAATTTGAATGAGTAATTCCTCTTTTTTCTTTTAATTAAGAACTTACTTTACTTCTTTCATTAGTGTTAACATTTTTCCCTGTGGGTGCTCCTTATTCCAAGAGGCATTGAATCAGGATTTGTCAGTATCTATTAGCACGAACTTGTAGATACTAATTTTAGCTCCTGCTGGAAACAAATAGGATGTAGAAAGCAACCCAGTCTCTATCTACTTTAGTTTGAACTGTTGCAAGATCCTTGAAGTGTCACTTTTCTGGCTGGAAACTTCTGGCTGGTGGTGCCTTTGCCCAAGTTTTGTTTGGACCCACTAGGCTTGTTCCATCCACTAGGCCTGGCTGGCTGCGCTTGGCTCATGCTACCAGCCTGGATGTCACACCTGCCAAGGGTGAGCCAGGCATGGAGTGGCAATAGGTGTGTGAGTGAGTGAGCATGGGGTCCAGCCACTGGACACAGACAGACCAGTTGCTGCAGCCGGGTGCGCAGCTCCAGGTGCTGGCATGGGCACTGGCTCTCTGCAAGCCTACAGCTAGATCAGGTACACTGCAAGCAACTTCCACAGCTGCCACTGGGGAACACAGTGGTGCCTGGAAGCTTGGAGACTCCAGGAACCACAGGGCCCCAAAGAGGGAGTCACAGCCCTGGCTTGGGGAGCTCCCAGGCCTTGGCTCCCTGAAGAGTCACAGTTCTTCTCTCCTCTTCACCCACAACGTGGTGAGCAAGGGGCGTGTTTCAGCCTTGTTTGTGTTATAGCTCTTTCAGCCCTGCCATTGGGCAGGCCCCAAGTTCTTATCCTGCGTCCAGGAACAATAAGGTATGCAAACAAGGTGGAGGGTGAGCAAGGTGAAGAAGAGCTTTACTGAGTAATAGAATCGCTTAGAGGAGGCCCTGGAGTGGGTAGTACCTCTCTGTAGCTGGTCATCCCAACGTACGCAGCTCTCAGCAGAGAGGAGACCCTGGTTGTCTCCTCTCTGTAGCTGGTTGTATGATGTCTGCTCAGCTCTAGCTAAGCCTGGAGCTTTTATGGGCATCAGAGGAGAGGAAGTATACACTGATTGGTCCATGGGCAGCCATGGGTGGGCCCAGAAAAGGCATCACAAATTCCCACTCTGGTCTACGGGAATGGCAGCCTGGACCCCAGCCTTCAGGCCCTACCTGGCCCAAAGATAGGGCCTCACCAGGGACTGCATCTTCTGCCCAGGAACCTGTCTGCCTCCTGCTGCTGTTCATGGCATCCAGGCTGTAGGTGCCAAGGGGCACCTTTGGGCCAGTGCTGAGCTGCCCTCAGTTCCCCCTTGCCTTCTCTCCTATGCTCATTGGTTCCCAAAGTCTGGAGGGGGCCAAGGCAGCAGGGGCCTAGCATGTCAAAACTGGCCCAAGCATGTTCACATCCAGCTAGATTGTGACAGCACCCAGGCTCTGCCCAACTTTGCTCTAAGGCTGACAGCAGGGAGAAGCTAGGCAGCAGGGGCAGGCAGAGGGGAACTTCCTGGGCCCCTTTACACTCTTGTGCAAGGATGCTTGAGTTCACAACTGCCATTTGAGTGGCTGCAGTTGCACAGCAAGTGTATGGTGGGGCTGGGGCAGTGATGCAGCTTCTGCTTGCTCAGTGGAGCAGGAGGCCTCGGTCCGCAGCCATGACTTGGGCTGCACCCAGGGAGCTCCTGCCCCACCAACTCAGAAGAAGTGGGACTTCCAGGGGTCCCACTTGGCCTCAGCTCTAAATGGCTCCACAGAGTGTGCAGCCATACCTGCACCTCCTTGCTGCAGCTGATGTGATGGCAGCAGCTGCTCCAGACAGGCTGCCACTGCCTCAGAACCACTTATCATCATACTATCTCCATTATAATGAATCAGTCCTTAGGGCACAATATAATGGCTTCTGTGTTTAAAATCCCTAAGTATATAGGGTAAAAGATGATTGATTTCCTTCCATAGGACAGAAATTATCTTTCAGAGTTCTTCAAAAGGGAGTATGCTAATATACCAGTCTTGGTATTTAGAGAGATACAGGCACATGTAAAAATGCAGATACCACCTTAAGATTAGTGTACTTTGTAAACTTTTCTGTATATATTTTATGCCTCAGTAAAAAAGAAGGGGAATATGTAAAACTTTCTGATACAACTTAAAGCTATTCCTGTGACAGAAGCATGAAGGAGTAAACTCCCTGGAGACAGGTTTGAGGAGAGAGCTATAGATCTCAAAACAAAAGAATGGCAAGTAAAGAGAATATAAATATCATTGATCCTTAGTAGAGACCACAGATAGCTAGCAAGCCCATGTGGACATGGTTGAGTCCGTTAAAAGAAATGCCAGTTCCTTACCATGAAATATCTTACCTTTAGGGGTTCATAAGCAGCAAATGTGGCACTGCTCTCCAAGTACTCTTCACATTCATTCACACTTACTGTTACCAGAGTATGGCCAAGTGATTTAGCTGCCATATATATACTGGAACAATGCATTGGTCCAGGTCTTTGAATACCTGTAAATCAAAAAAACATGATCTTGGCAGGGTGTGGTGGCTCAGGCCTGTAATCCCAGAACTTTGGGAAGCTGATGCAGGCAGACTGCTTGAGCTCAGAAGTTCAAGACCAGCCTGGGAAACATGGCAAAACCCCATCTCTATAAAATATAAAAACATTATCCAGGCATGGTGGCATACACTTGTAAACCCAGATACCCAGGAGGCTGAGGAAGGACGATAGCTTGAGTCCAGGAAGTCGAGGCTGCAGTGAGTCATAATTGTGCCACTACACTCCAGCCTGGGCAACAGAGTAAGACCCTGCTTAAAAAAAACCAACCCAAAACAAATATAATTTCATGGGGTAAAAAGCAGTTAATTCTAAAGGAAATTAAGCTACAGAAATATAAGAATTTTAATACAATCTTGGCCGGATGTGGAGGCTCACACCTGTAATTCCAGCACTTTGGGAGGCCGAAGCAGGCGGATCACCTAAGGTCAGGGGTTCCAGACCAGCCAGGCCAACATGGCGAAACCCCGTCTCTACTAAAAATACAAAAATTGGCCAGGCATGGTAGCAGGCATCTGTAATCCCAGCTACTTGGGAGGCTGAGTCAAGGAGAATTGCTTGAACCTGGGAGGTGGAGGTTGCAGGAGCCAAGATGTGCCACTGCACTCCAGCCTGGGCGACAATAGCAAGACTCCATCTCAAAAAAACAAACCAAAATAAAACAAAACCACCTGATCTCTTACATTAACCATTAGGCCCTTTATATCAAGTTGATATAAAAGTGTTATTTCTGGCCGGGCGCGGTGGCTCAAGCCTGTAATCCCAGCACTTTGGGAGGCCGAGGCGGGTGGATCACAAGGTCAAGAGATCGAGACCATCCTGGTCAACATGGTGAAACCCCGTCTCTATTAAAAATACAAAAAAATTAGCTGGGCATGGTGGTGCGTGCCTGTAATCCCAGCTACTCAGGAAGCTGAGGCAGGAGAATTGCCTGAACCCAGGAGGCGGAGGTTGCGGTGAGCCGAGATTGCGCCATTGCACTCCAGCCTGGGTAACATGCGTGAAAATCCGTCTCAAAAAAAAAAAAAAAAAAAAAAAAAAAAAAAGTGTTATTTCTATTGAGAAACATGTATGAGATACAGTTCTATGTACAGTGAGAATGTGTGTAATATATACGTACATATATGAGCAAAGATCCTGACCTCAAGCATTTATAGTTTCAAGGGGAAAGTGAACATGTAAATAATTCACTTAAAACATTAATAGAAAGTGATAAATACTATAGAAGTCTAGAAAATAGATTATTTCAAGCTGGAGAGATCAAGGAAAGTTTAAAGTATCTCACGCTGAGAAAACAGAATGAACAAAGAAATACAAATGAGATAGAAATGAGAATATGAGAGATATATATGAGAGAATTTAAAGTAGTTGGTTTAGCTAGGCATGGTGGCTCACGCCTGTAATCCCAGCACTTTGGGAGGCTGAGGTGGGCGGATCACTTGAGGTCAGGAGTTCAAGACCAGCCTGGACAACATGGTGAAACTACTAAACTGCTACAGAAATACAAAAATTAGCCAGGTGTGGTGGCATGTGCATGTAGGCCCAGCTACTTGGGAGGCTGAGGGATGAGAATTGCTTGAACCTGGAAGGCAGAGGTTTCAGTGAGTCAAGATGGAGCTACTGCATCCCAGCCTGGGCGACAGAGTGAGATTCTGTCTCAAAAAAAAAAACAAAAAAAAAAAACAAAAAAACCAAAACAAAACAAAAAAATAAAAATAAAAATAAAAATAAATAAATAAAGAACTTGATTTAGTTAGAACCATATATGAAGCAAAAGTATGAAATAATGAAAAGTAGATTGGGTTATATTGTAGAGGAATCTTGAATACCAAACTAAAAGATTTTGGCTCCATTTCACTGGCAATAAGTCTTTCAAAATTTTTGAGGAGAAAAAATAATATCAAACTTGAGTTCATGAAGATCCATGTGGTAGCCAGAGGTAAGAATAGTCAGAAGGCTTTTGTTGTCCCACATGGGAAATAAAGGTCTAAAAATTAGAAGAGATGCTCTGAGGGGAAAAAAGAGAGATGTGAGAGTATGTATGTATGTATGTAGCATAATGAGCAAAAGCAAAATAAAAGTCCAATTTGATAGATGTAAGAATTAAATAGTTAATGTATAAAAAGTATGCAGAACAGAGCTTGGCAAAGAGTAAATGCTAAGAAAATCTTAGATGTTACTACTCTCATTATACTGATGAAAAAACAATGGGAATCAGCATCAAATATGAAGTTCGATAGCAGGAAAGAATGTTGACTTTTATGAATAGTTTATTCATATTTACTGTTTTATTAGAAAAATATTTTATCCTTTTTCAATAAATTTAATGTATGTAGATATTAAATGGCTTTACATTCCTCTTTGAAAGACATATGGTATGTATATTAGGGAAAGAAGAAAAGAGCTGGAGGCTAGAAAGGGAAAATCTTACTGTGAACTAAAATCTGATACTGAGATTGCCCTTGTAATCTCAGCTACTTGAAAGGCTGAGATTGGATAGCTTGGGCCCAGGAGTCCGATGTTACAGTGATCTATGATTGCACCACTGCACTCCAGCCTGGGTGACACAGCAAGAACCTGTCTCTAATAATAATTATAATAAAAATAAAAACAGGCTGGGTGTGGTGGCTCACACCTGTAATCCCAGCACGGAGGCCAAGGCAGGCAGATCACCTGAGGTCAGCAGTTCAAGACCAGCCTGGCCAACATGGTGAAACCCCATCTTTACTAAAAATACAAAAATTAGCCAGATGTGGTTGTGGGCATCTGTAATCCCAGATACTTGGGAGGCAGAGACAGGAGAATCGCTTGAACCCGGGAAGCGGAGGTTGCAGTGAGCCAAGATCCACTGCACTCCAGCCTGGGTGACAAAAGTGACTCTGTCTTAAAGCAGATAAACAAACAAACAAACAAAAACTGGTATCATCCAGCTACAATGTTATTTGATTTCTGTGCCTTTGTTTCTACATCTGTAAAATGAGGAGTATAACACTTACTACAAGGCATTTGATGAAATAAAAGTATTATAAACAAAAGTAAATTGTGACTTCAGACTATAATTGGCAGTTTCTGAACTGTTGATTGCTTCCTTAAAGAGAAAGGAAGTAATATGTTACAGTGGTAAAGTTAAAGATACATAAAGACAAAGGAAGGAGAAGATAAAAAGGCTACTTTTACCTCCTTTGAGAAGAGTAAAGACTCCTTGTTTATCCATGTTCAGATCCAAGGATAAATGAGAGCAGTCTGTGAATGCCATAGCTTCTTTAGTCTCTTTATTTACGTGATACATTGCAATGGGGATTTCTATAATCTGGCCAATCTCCACATCAGCATGAAATGGTAACAGTTCCATTTTGTTCAGTTTCAGGACATGTATCTGGGGGGAAAAATTCATCTTTCAAGAAAGTTACGTTAAAAAAGTCTTAGGAGGCGAAGCAAGATGGCCAAATAGAGCCTTCCAGTTAGTGTCCCTGCAGGAACACCAAACTGAATGACTATCCATACAAGAAAGCACTTTCATAAGAATCAAAAATCAGGTGAGCAATCACAGACCTGGTTTTAACATTATTAAGGAAAGAGGCACTGAAGGGGGAAGAAAGAGTAGAATTGCCAACATCACCTCTCTCCCATTCCTAGGCAGTGGCAGCAGCCACATGGTACAGAGAATCTGTATACCTGGAGAAGTGCACTGATTTGCATCCCACAATCACTGCAGTCCCCTAGGTGTGCAGATTTGGAACTCAGTGCTGCCTACCACAGTGGAAACCAACACAGGGCAGAATTCAGTCAGTGCCTATGGAGGGAGCATTTAGACCAGTATAGCCAAAGGGGAGTTGCCCATCCCAGCAGTCCGAACCTGAGTTCCAGCTAGCCCTGGCACTGTGGGCTAAAGCACTCTGGGGTGCTAAATAAACTTGAAAGGCAGTGTAGGCCACAAGGGCTGTCATTCCTGGGCAAGTTCTGGTGCTGTGCTGGGCTTGAAGCCAGTGGACCTGGGATACATATGATCTAGTGAGATCTCCTGCTGGGGTGGCCAATAGAGTGTTTGTAGCACTCCTCTCTGCACCCAGGCAGCACAGCTCATAACTCTGGAGAGTTACTCCTTCTTCCTGCTTGAGAAGAGAAGAGGGAAGAGTAAAGGGGACTTTGTAACTCAGATAACAGCTCAGCCACAATAGGGGAGCAGGCAGAGTCACAAGGCCCCCATTTCAGACACTAACTCCCTGAAAACATTTCTATACACACCCTGGGCAGAAGGTAATCTGCTGTCTTGAAAGGAAGGACACTGTCCTAGCAGGATTCATCACCTGCTGATTAAAGAGCCCTTGGGCCTTGGCCAGGTGCGGTGGCTCATGCACGTAATCCCAGCACTTAGGGAGGCCAAGGCAGGTGAATCACTTGAGATCAAGAGTTCAAAACCATCCTGGCCAACATGGCAAAACCCTGTCTCTACTAAAAATACAAAAATTAGCCAAGCATGGTGGCAGTCACCTGGGAGGCTAAGGCATGAGAATCACTTGAACCTAGGAGGTGGAGGTTGCAGTGAGCCAAGAACATGCCACTGCACTCCAGCCTAGGAGACAGAGCAAGACTCCATCCAAAAAAAAAAAAAAAAAAAAAGCCCAGAATAAACATTTTGTATCTACCAGGTAGTATTTGATGCAGGTGGGAGACAGAGAAAGACTCCGTCAAAAAAAAAAAAAAAAAAAAAAAAGAGAGAGAGCCTTTGGGCCTTGAATAAACATTTTGTATTTGCCAGGTAGTATTTGATGCAGGCCTTAGGTGACACCCAGTGCCATGCTGGCTTCAGGTGTGACCCAATACATTCCCAGCTGTGAGGACCATGAGCAGAGACTTACTCTGCTTAAGGAAAGAAAATGGAAGAGTAAGGGGACTTTGTCTTATAGCTTCGGTACCAGCTCAGCCATAGTGAGGTAGAGCACCAAGTGGGCTTCAGGGGTCCCCAATTTCAGGCCTTGGCTCCTAGATAGCATTTTTAGACCTGCCCTAGGCCAGAGGGGAGCCCGCTTCATTGAAGGGAGAGATCCGGGCCTGGCAGCATTCACAAGCTGACTGAAGAGCCTTTGGACCTTGAACGAAATTTGGCAGTAGCCAGGCAGTATTTGCCACGGGTCTGGGACAGTGGTGGCCACAAGGAGAGACTCCTTCAGTTTGAACAAAGGAGAGGTAAGAATGAGAAGGGGGCTGGATGTGGTGGCTCACACCTGTAATCCCAGCACTTTCAGAGGCAGAGGTGGGCAGATCACTAGATGCCAGGTATTCGAGACCAGCCTGACCAACATGGTAAAGCCCCATCTCTACTAAAAATATAAACATTAACCCGAGCATGGTAGCACATGCCTATAGTCCCAGCTACTCAGGAGACTAACGCAGGAGAATCGCTTGAACCCAGGAGGTGGAGGTTGCAGTGAGCTGAGATCATGCCATTGCACTCCAGCCTGGGTGACAGAGTAAGACTCCATTCCAGAAAAAAAAAAAAAAAAAAAAAGACTGAGAAGGGCTTTGTCTTGCAGCTTGGGTGCCTGGTCTGTTCGCCAGCTCAGTCGCAGCAGAACAGAGCAGCAGGTAGATTTCTGAGTTTCCTGACTCCAGGCCCTGGCTCCTGGATAGAATTTCTGGATCTTCCTTGGGCTAGTGAGGAGCTTGCCACCCTGAAAGAAAGGCCACTGACTGTGCAGACCTTGGGTTTTGAGTGAACACTAGCAGTAAGCAGGCAGTGGTCATTGCAGGACTTGGAAAGGACCCAGGGCTGTGCTAGCTTTGGGTCTGACCCAGTGCAGTCCTAGTGGTGGTAGCCATAGAGGGGCTTGTGTAACCTTACCCCCAGCTCCAGACCGCTTAGCATGGAGAGACAGAGACTCTGTCTGGGCAAAAGAAAGAGAAAAAGAGTCTGTCTGGTAATCCAGGAAATTCTCTCAGATCTTACCCAAGACCACCAAAACAGTACCTCTACAAGTATGCAACAGTCACAGTGTTACTGGGTTTGGGGTGCCCCCCTAATGCAGATACACACTGCAGTGACCAAAGACTTAGATCACAACACTCAATTCTCTTTGAATACTTGGAAAGCCTTCCCAAGAAGGATGGGTACAAACAAGCACACTGTTCAAAGACTACAATTAATATCTAATTCTTCAATGCCCAGACATCAATGAACATCCACAAATATCAAGACCATACAGGAAAACATGGCCTCACCAAATGAACTAAATAAGGCACCAGTGAACCAACCCTGGAGTGACAAAGTTACATGACCTTACAGACAAAGAATTCAAAATAGCTGTTTTGCAGAAGTTCAATGAAATTTAAGAGAAGAGAAGGAATTCAGAATCCTATCAGAGAAATATAAAAAAGGTACTGAAATAATTTTAAAAAGCAGAAATCCTGGAGCTGAGAAATTCAATTAACATACTGAAGAATGCATCACAGTCTCTCAACAGCAGAACTGATCAAGCAAAAGAAAGAACCAGTGAGCTTGATGACAGGTTATTTGAAAATACAGTTAATGGGCCAAATGTGGTGGCTCACACCTGAAATCCCAGCACTTTGGGAGGCCGAGGTGGGTAGATTGAGGCCAGGAGCTAGAGACCAGCCTGGCTAACACAGTGAAAGCCTGTCTCTATTAAAAATAGAAAGAATAAGCTGGGTATGGTGGCGCAAGCTATAATCCCAGCTACTCGGGAGGCTGAGGCATGAAAATTGCTTGAACCTGGGAGGCAGAGGTTGCAGTGAGTAGAGATCATGCCACTGCACTCCAGCCTGGCTGACAGAGTGAGATGCTGTCTCAAAAAAGTAGAAAAGAGGCTGGGCACAGTGGCTCACGCCTGTAATCCCAGCACTTTGGGAGGCCAAAGTGGGCAGATCACCTGAGGCTGGGAGTTCGAGACCAGCCTGACCAACACAGAGAAACCCCACCTCTACTAAAAATACAAAATTAGCCAGGCATGGTGACACATGCCTGTAATCCCACCTACTTGGGAGGCTGAGGCAGGAGAACCACTTGAACCTGGGAGGTGGAGGTTGCGGTGAACTGAGATCATGCCATTGCACTCTAGCCTGGGCAACAGTGAAACTCTGTCAAAAAAAAAAAAAAAAAAAAAGGAAGGAAGAAATACAGTCAGAGGAGACTAAAGAAAAAATAATAGAAAAGAATGAAGATCTTTCTAGATCTTCATCTAGGGCAAATCTAAGAGCTACTGGCCTTAAAGTGGAGGTAAAGTGAGAGATTTAAACTACTGATACCTTGAGTAGAAAGACTAAAAGGAGAACTTATAAAAAGTAATAACTGGCCAGGTGCGGTGGCTTCACGCCTGTAATCCCAGTACTTTGGGAGGCCGAGGTGGGTAGACCATGAGCTCAGTAGTTTGAGACCAGCTGGCTAAGATGGTGAAACCCTGTCTCTACAAAAAATACAAAAATTAGCTGGGCGCAGTGGTGGGCACCTGTAATCCCAGCTACTCGGGAGGCTGAGGCAGGAGAATTGTTTGAACCAAGCCTGGGCGATAGAGCAAGACTCTGTCTCAAAAAAAAAAAAAAAGTAATAACTACAACAATTATTCAAGACATAGACAGTATAAGATATAAGATATAAATAGAAACAACACAAAGTTAAAAAGCAGAGAGATGAAGTTAAAGTGTAGAAGCTTTTGTTTTGAGGTGGAGTGCTGCTCTGTTGCCCAGGCTGGAGTGCAATGGCGTAATCTCAGCAAGCAATTCTCCTGCCTCAGCCTTGAGAGTAGCTGGGATCACAGGTGTGCATCACCATGCCTGTCTAATTTTAGTATTTTTAGTAGAGATGGGTTTCACCATTTTGACCAGGCTGGTCTCAAACTCCTGACCTTAGGTGATCCACCCACTTTGGCCTCCCAAAGTACTGGGATTATAGGCATGAGCCACTGTGCCCAGCCTAGAGTTTTGATTACTTTTCTCTTTGCTTATTTGTTAGTTTGTTTATGTAATTAGTGTTAAGCTGTCATCAGTTTAAAATAATGAGTTAATAAGACCTTATTTGTAAGCCTCGTGGTAATCTGACAAAAATAAAATGCAAGAAATTAAAACATACCACCGGAGAAAATCACCTTCACAAAAAGGAAGACAGGAAGGAGGGACAGAAGGAAGAGAAGACCATAAAACAACCAGAAAACAAATTAAAAATGGCAGGAGTAAATCCTTATTTATCAATAATAACATTGAATGTAAAGGGACTAAACTCTCCAAAAAACAGAATGACCGAATAGATTAAAAAAAAAAAGGCCGGGTGCGGTAGCTCACACCTGTAATCCTAGCACTTTGGGAGGCCAAGGTGGGTAGATCAACTGAGGTTGGGAGTTCCAGACCAGCCTGACCAACATGGAG